TATAATAAGCCGCTGATAAACCATCTGGGCCAGGGGCTTTTTCAGAGTTAATTTTCTTAAAGGCAGTTGACATTTCCTCTAATGTGACTTCCTTTCTCTATTTTAGACCCCTTGCCCACATGACAATGAACTGACTTGATGCATCCTTGCCAGAGAAAGAGGATTCTCTCCCCCATCACGTTAGCAAAGGCAACGTCCAAGAAAGCTGGACCTCTTACAAGTCAAAGCCAAGAGGGCATGGCTGACACTTCACACTTCCACAGGTTAGATGTACCAATTATGATACAGAGGAACAGAACATTCTCCTCCCTCACTTGTGATGAAACAGCCCTGGAGCTTTCTCTGGCATATGATATTCATGGGAAGATCTTCACGACCGAAGTCCTAGAGTCATACCCAAGCTGCAAGGGCCAATTTATATTCTGTGAAGTTGAAGGGCAGGCACCAGATGCGGCCTGTTGTGCAAAGTGAAGTCAGGGTGAATAGCGAGAAGTCAGAAGCCAGGAAAACCATATGTCAAACTGAAAGTCAGCAGGTGCTTTGGCTTTGGCTGCTAACCCTAACCCTGAAAAATTAAACAGGATCAGATCTGCTAAATACTGGGAGATCAGATTCCTCTCCTGCTTCTGTTCTGATTCCCTGTGGAATTATGTGGTTCTGATTTTGTATATGGAACATGATAAGCAATGCATGTGGCTGATTCCTCTTCTGCATTTCACATGCTGGTAAGAAAAAAAATCTGCCAATCATGGTGCTGCAGCAGGAATGAAGTGGGTCTGTCTGCAGGACTCTGTTAATCACCTCTAGGCTCCTTCCTGTACCCCCTCCTCTTACACATGATTCTTTCAGAATCAAAGCTGAATGCAGTTTAAGAAACACAACAGATGGGAGTCATGAAAAAACTGAGCCCCAAGCATGATTTTTATTTAGGATTTCTCTCCCCTTCTTTTCCTTTCTTTATATAGCCTTCCAGATTCCTCCGTGCTCTGTCTGGGACAGTGGGATGGAACTGATCCTATCATTTCAGTGTTATACTATTTCACCATTCTACTGTAACACCATTGCACAATTTTGACATTCTCTTTCCCTTTTCCACTATTACATTACTTCAATCTTGCACAAAATTGAAACCACAGACTTAATGTGAATTACTGTACTCATGGTACAGGCTGAGTAGTTTACACTATTGTGCAATTTTGACAGAGCAATAGCAGAATGGCAGTAACAAAGGCTGATTAGGGAGCTGAGGGAAGGGGATCTGCCTCAATCAGTCTGAAATGGCCATAAATACTGCTCAGATCCCACACCCTACTGACTTTGGTTCTGACTTAAGAGGTGGTGAAGCATAACTGATTTTACACACCTTCCACCTGCTGCTGGATACTATTGGCTTAAGGGCTGGGGGGCGGGTTAAAGACAGATAAGGATGATTTAAGTCTGTCTCATTCATTTACCCATGGACTGGGGTAAGATGAAAGCAACAATCAAAGGAAAAAATTGTTATGGCATGTTTTTTCCATAGTTGTCTGTAGGTAAGAATTGTAATATCTATCCTCTGAGTCTGAGGAGAAAAACAGGAGGTACTGGGTCTCCAGAAAAATCTCACTGACTTTTGAGTCATCTTCATTGCCTATTCAGGGTTTAAGGTTCATGATAATCAGGATGATCAGAATGCAATCAGCCAATCAAAATAATCTGCTCTCCTTGAAGTGTCACTGATCAAGCTGGGTACAGTCTTAGTGGCAGGAAGGCTTCCTGAGGTATTATGGCACTATACTGCGCCATCCCCCTCCACCAAAGTACAACCTTCCCAGATATAGGGCTATCAGTTGTGAACTGCCTAGAGTCAGTTGGAGTTGGGTGGTGCCTAAATTGAAATAAACAAATAAATAAATAAATGTGCTGGCAATCACATTTAGTTATCTATCAACGTTTGGTTATCTATCTACAATTTTTGACATTCATTTGGGCATTCCTTAAAAGCATGTCCATTATAATGACAATTTCTTACTATTCTGAAATCATAATATATTCCACTAAATAATTTAAGTCAGGGAAAACCTGTGACCCTCCAAAATGTTGTCAGCAGCATGAGAAGCCTTTATAGCAGCATCATGCTCCGCATAGTATCTTTTCTTTTCAATGTTCTCAGGAATAGCTATGAGATCCTGAAGCATGCAATACTGGCCAGCTGAAAGTGAATACCCATTTTATTACCACTAGGATTTTAAATCCTACTTCCAGATCAGACATGCAGGCACATGTGTGACATTTTTTTCCTCTAGGAACAGTTCTGCTTTCTGATAAAAAAACAACAGTAATAACACTAACAACAATAATACTAGGCTGCTAATTACACAAGAATGTTTTTGTTTTCATGAAAATCTGATGGCTAAGTGACCAGCATAATTAATTCTGTATATATAGTAATGTTCTTATACAACCTTTCCCAACCTGATCTAAAAGTCAGCTATGATAATTTCCACTAGCATGTTCAAATTCAGTATTGGAAGAATATCAAGTTTGGGTATGTTATTACAAATTATTCCTTAGCACATCTGCCCCCAAACTTAGATGTCCTCCAGATGTGTTGAGTTCAATTCCCAGAATTCTCAACAACAGTTGTGCCGGCTAGGGAATTCTGGGTGATGAAGTCTGTACATTTGAGCATTTAATGACACATAAAAGATAAATATGTTCTAGTATACTTTAATACAACCTGAATAAGACGGTCAGTACTGTACTAATTAACCAGTAGTCGATATTGCTACCAGCTCCCCAAAGATATTAAAACCATCTCAGCCTAATCCAATAACGTCACCACATTGTGCAACCTGACTGTATTGTTTCCTGAAAATAAAATAGCCATTCACAGCTGTAGTCTTAACACTAAATTTATATCGCCTTGGACAGTCAGGATCAAGATGCTGCTAATAGGGCTGTGCAAAGCATTCAAAATAAGTGCTTTGGAAAGCATGTTAGCACAGATTAAGTACTTCTTTGTATATGTGCACACAGACAATATTTTTACTGGGACTGCCAACAAAGTAAAGCAACTATGCATATACACACAGGTAGAGACAGTTGGGAACAATGTTTAAATCAGCCATATAAGTCCTGCAAAAGATGTGGCTGACTTAATGCTCTGAAGGATGATACTTAGTGGTTCAAATGCTTTGCATGGTCCTTGGTGCTATTTCAATGTATATGTGTCAGTCAAAGTGAAGTTACACAGTTCTATCAAATAGCATTGTTCCTACAAAAGAATGATTGCCCTTACCTTTCTTTTGATGTCAATGAACTGAGAAAACATTATGGACCAATAGAATGATAGCTCAAGTATGTAGTAGTAATGAACCTCGGGCATCAAAGGCTGGAGAGTAAAAGTAAACAAGATCTTAAAAACCCCACCAAGATAAATTCAATAACTCTGGGAACAATTCAAATTTTTACCTGACAGATTTCTGCATAACATTTTGGAGATCTGGTGAGTTAAAACAATACTTTGAACAATACCTTTTTTATTTTTTCCAACCCAATGGAATTTTCTTTTTCTTCCTAGCGTTTTCCCACAGGTGCAGGGGTTTTTTTGAGGGATCAACCAAAGGTTGATCCATTGGTTGTAACAGGAGTTAACTGACCAGCTTGTTGCCTGAGCCTGACATTGTGGCTGAGAGACAATGACCGGCCTGGAAAGTAATTATGTAAAGGGGCTCCTAACTCTGTCTTTCTGTCCATCAGCAGGTTAACTCTCAAAAAGCATAATGAAAAGAGACCAAATTTGGTATGGTGGGAGAAGCTGGCAAAAATAAGATCAAGTGAGGCTGGAGCCCAGTACAGTTGAATGCTGATGTATGGGGGAGTGTTGCCTTTGGGAGTGTTTTTGTTACGTTTTTATGGCTGTTTTATGTAACTGAAGGCAACTAAGAGTCACTACTTTATTGCAGCTGCAGCTCTTATGTCCTCCTCCCCTGACGTCAACTCAGAATGGTTTCAAGATTCTCTGAATAGGCTTGGAAAAAGATCCCTGGCATTCAGCTTGGATCCAAAATAAATACTGTAGAAGTAAAGACACTTACATGAATACAAGACACTCCCATTCCAACAAACCTGGCTGACCCTTACTTCAGTCCCCTTCATTATATCCCATTGGGTTTCTCCACTGAAAAAGCCTATCAGTTCCTCAAGGTCACTTTATTTTTCTTTTTACTATCAGGTGAGGCCAATTTGCAAATCTGGTCAAGGTCAGTTGTGACTTCACACTAAGATATTTTTCACTACCACTGCATAATAGTCATGTTGAGGTTCAGATTTGGTATTTTTTAAGCAGGTTAGAAAAGTCCTTGACCCCCTTCCTTCCCAAGGGATTAAGGAAGTCTAACTTCCCCATCTCTTCTGCTTTGTCAACTCCAAAGCTGCTTCTTTAAACATGATATCCCACCTTGTCACTGACAATAGAGAAACAGATGATTCTAACAGTAAACAGTGGAAAAACCAAATAGACTCTCTTCCCCAAGCCCCAGCTCTTCCTCACTTCTACCACCTAGACCAGCGTTTTTCAAGCTTAACAACTTTAAGATGTGTGGAATTCTGGGAGTTGAAGTTGCCAAGTTTTAAAAATACTGACCTAGAATAAATGCATGAAATAAAAGACTGTGTTGGAAGATGGCAGCTATAGCCATTTCAAAGACTCTTGCAATTACATTTTCAATATTTTACATTCACGCTATGCAACACAGTTATTTGCTGTTGTTTTACCTGATATGGGTAACCAGCCCAGCACTGCTTTGTGTTCCACAGCCAGGGACTCTTTAAAAAAACAAATAAGCAAGAGAGAAAAAGAGAAGAAAAAACAAGATTAAATACTTGCAGGGCAGTGCAACTGAATCTTCTGGACATTTGAAACACATTCATTTGACCCTGCCAGAAGAAGGTATACTTGTCTGTTGCTTAGCATGTCATATGAACTCAACGATTATGATTTGTAAATCAAGGTTTATGGCTTAGTGTGTTGTGGGATTCCAGCCAACTATTGTTTATTCAGCAAATTATGATTATTTGAAACATGACTTAGTACAACTAGGGTCATACCTCAAAGGCCAATTATTTCCAGTTTCAATGTTTTACTTATGTCTGTGTCAGTTCACACTCTAGTCCTCATTAGAAACTAAGTTCTGCCATGTTGAATAATACCAAGATCCATTAGCCCATAACTTTCTTTCCTACAAGGCCTCAAAAGTAAAAAAAAGGACAGTAATGGCTGTCTCTTGATTTTTGTCCAAATGTCTGAACATAATTAAACATTCCGGCTATGGATAGAGAGTGGTTCTGTTTAGGAAATGAAGCTAAGCATGTTTAAAATAAGCCATTTAAATCTTAAAGACTTGTATATTCTCTTAGGAGAAGTTCATATTCTGTGACAGCATTTCTTATGAACTGTGTATCAACTACCCGAGTTGGTGACAGAATCAACAGGTATCACAATCTTTCTACCGTTTCCCTCAAACTCTGAAACAATGATGAATATAGGACACATTTAGTCCTTCTTTTGAAGAAGTATCCTGAAAGGCAGCCTTTCACTTTGTATTATGCCTTTGCTTGGATTCTGGCAATATAAAAGTCATAACCAAAATTATTGTCACCTGACTAGTAATATGCAGCTCACTGAATTTTTGTTACATCTTGTATGCACACTACACCTATCTACATTTATACTGAGAGAAAGATGAATTTATTTTTCTTAAGCTATAAATGATCCACTACATTTTCCTGAAAGCTTTTGTAAATTTGAAGTAAACTTGAAGAATAATTTAATGAATAGTTTATCTTAATTTTTAAGAAGTGAAATACAAAGTATTCAGCTTAGGAAAGGGCTAATTATTGATCTGGGCTGTAGGCATGATTATCAGACAACAACAAGTAAACAATTACACAATGCAATGAATAAAAAATCAGGGAAAACTGAAAGTTTTTAGTTCTTAACAGGGCAGTCAAAATTAGGAAAATGCATCCCAACAAACAGCCATTTTGAAGCCTGTCACTTCTTTCTTGGTGATTTCAGATTTTAAAACCTGAACAAGAAGGAAAATCCTTAGGATTGTAACATAATCTCCTCATTGGCTCAACAATCAACCCCAAAATATTTTTGCTTAGTTAAAACCTTGCAATCAGTCGCTAAAAGAAGCTGGTTCAAAACTAACTGATCATTCTACTTTCATGTAGCCCTTGCCCCAGTTTCCAAACATAATCACCTCACATTTCTAGCAAGAGCAATCTGTCCTTTCCCTCTTAACTTGGAATAAAGAAAAGAGGATATCATAAAGAGAAAGAAGAGGGGATCAAAAATAGTGAGTGCCACCACCAAATAGGGGGTGCCACCAACAACTTCTAGGTACTGTTCCCATCTATTGATTGTAAGAATAAAATGGTAGCAGCAGGGATGCATGCAGAAGGGAAACCATTTATGTTAGTCATTGCTCCTTGAGCTGAAGGCTGCATAAACAATAACAACAAAAACTACTAGTCTTAGACTAGTAGATAATGAGGAATTGTGTTAGGATGGTTAAATTGTGATTCATCAGTTTGTAGAAAGAAAATCAAGTTTAGAATTTATCACGTGCTCTTCCTCTACAAATTTTCTTTGTTAGCTTGTTCTATAAGTCTACTCATCCATTTACCTTAACTAAAAGATGTTTTAAAAGGTCTTTCCCGATACTTATATTTCTAAACAAACCTTTTCAAATCACTCAGGACACATGCAGATGGCCAGGTTGAAGCCCTATCCACCAGCAAAAAAGTATGCCAGCATAACATTTCCTAGCCCAATTGCTGAGTCCTTATTATTGTTGGCAGTTGGTGCTGTTGTGACTGTTTTAATGGGGGTTAAATTAAGGAAAGTGATTGGTCAATTCTCTCATTTTTGTCCCCTCCCCTGACTAAATATCATACGCCAGTAGAAAAAGAACCACTAATGATATTATTTGTTTTGTTGTTGCTTTAACCAGGGCCTTATGGGTTATATGTTGTTGTGGTGGTTTTAATCTTTGTATGCCACTCAGAGTCATAGAGATTGGTGGCTCTATAGATCATTCATACACATACACACGTGTGTAGGTGGGTGCTTGAAATAACATGTTTAGCTAACTTTCAGGTTACCCAACTAATAAATGGTTGGAATGGGGGTGCTCTTTGTCTATGACCTGTCAGACATCTGAAAGTGCAAAACCCATGTTGAAAAATAGTCTGGGAGACAGATTGCAGGATCAGAGGAAGTGCATAGGGAGAAATGGGAAGAAGCAATAATGAATAAGCTGTCCTCAACTAGTCTTGTAACAGAATGACAATACTGGCAGTGATTCCAGTTCCCTCTTTATAGCTGGCAGCAGTGGAAGTAGCCCATGAATGGTCCTGGAGCCAGACTGCAGCAGGCAAAATGATGACATCCACCCACCCAAGTAATAAAAACAATGGAAAGTATGGTCACACTAAACATCCTGTTTCCAGAAGCAGCAGAAAACCCATAATACACCCAAAGGTGACAGAACCAGCAACACTCAGCTGGCAGAACCAGGCTCTCCTTCCAAATTTAAACAACCAATCTGCACAGTGCAGGACTGCGCAGCACTGCTTTTAAAGAAAAACCTAGCATTCTTTCAAAAGAACACTGTATCTGGGCTTAAAAACCAGATCTAGTTGTCTTTCGAAAGAGCATTAAACCCATATTTAAAAGAAGCTTGTGTAAGATCTGACAAGTGTTTTAGAAAGTACCAGTCAGGCATTAAGAGGGCAGATAATTCTGCAGAAGCCAGGTGTCTCTCCTGCAGCCCAAGCCAAATGTATCATGGAGGGCAGTGCCCAGCAACCAAAGGGAAGTATCAGCCTAACATCAGCCCCACATCAGCCTAAATTGGTCAACAGAAGCTGGGCGGAACCCACCCCTGACTGCTTCAGCAGCCACATAATCAATGTTGTCCATAACAAAAACTGTGTTTGGAAAGGAGGGGAAACACTACTTTAAAACTGAAACAGCTAAAGATGAATTTAAGCTGCCTCATACGACATGGCATAACTGATTAGCAAGCTAAGTTTGTGCCACAGTTAGGGGAACATGAGGATGAGCCCAAAGAGACATAATTGAGTCACCAGTTTGAAGAAATTCACACATCAACTCTAGTATTCTACATGGCCATGTCCCAGGCAGCTAAACAAAATACAGTCCAATATAAGCAGAGGAGGAGCAAATTCATTTCTAATAGAGAGAAATCAAAAACACCATACGGTAATGATTTCTTCCAAGGTATATTTCAAATAAGAACCACTTTAGTGTACAATAGTGATTTAAGACACCGGGCTACAAACCAGGAGACCATCAGTATATTTCTTAGTTATGAAAGCCCACTGGGTGGCTTTGAGCCAGTCATTTTCTCTCTGCCCTGGGAAGGAGGCAAGGGCAAACCACTTCTGAAAAACCTTGCCAAGAAAACTGCAGGAACTTGTCCAGGCAGTCACCAGGAATCAAAACCATCTTGAGGACACAAATATACACACTTACATATTCAAATACACATGAAACCAAGTAACTAATATTATGCAGAAGCAGAAACAGAATCTTGACTACCCAGTACTTCAGGCTTTGACATACTTAGCAGCTTTACAAAACAGTAGGACTGTTGCTGAGCTCAGATTAGGATTGGGTGGATGAAGGGTAAGAGAAGGAAAATGCAACACTTTAATATAGATCAACATTAGTAACAACGTAAGAAGAATGCTTGAGTGAGGCCCTTGTTGACGCCTGGAATAAGTGGGTGGTGGGAGCCTTGGACTGGATTGTGCCCACGTGGCCTCTCTCCTCCTGTGGATCCCATAACTCCCTTGGTTTACAGAGGTGTTGAGGGAGATGAAATGAGGAAAGAGATGCCTAGCGCATCGCTGGAGGGCAATGAGGAGTGAACCTGACCAAGCACGAGTTAGAGTCACTATTAAGGATTACCTCATGGCGGTAAAAATGGCATGGACAGTCCTCAGTCAATGCACATTACACTTCTGTTCTGTAAGCTGCATTGGTTGCCAGTATGCTTCTGGGTTCAATTCAAGATGTGGGTAATGACCTATAAAACCCATCATGGCATGGGGGCTGGGTTATTTAAAGGACCGCTTCCCCCTAATTATGCTTACCTGTCCCATGAGGTCTAGCAGGAGGCATGCTCTGGGTCCTGTCTACTAGGGAATATCATCTGACAGTGCCCAGGAAGAGCCTTTTCTGTTGTGGTACCTGCCCTTTGGAACACCATCCCCCCAGAGAGGAGATTGACTGCAACCCTACTAGCTTTTCACAAAGCCTTAAAGACATGATTTTGTCACCAGGCTTAGGGATCCAGATGTGTGTTAGAGCCTATGTAGTGGCTGTGTTAAATGCCATTGGTAGGTTTTGTACTTCACCTGCTGATTGTACTGGTATGGTTTTTATATTGTTTCTTGTTTTTATATAGTTTTTAATTGTTGTTAGCTGTTAATTGTTGTTAGCTGAATTTGAGATGGGCGGCCATATAAACTGAAATAATAAAATAAATAAAAATAAACAGATGAATAAATAAGAACTCTGCTGGATCAGGGTCAGCAGCTCTTTTAATGCAGACCTCTGTGTCACAGAGTGGCCAACAAGATGAATTCAGGATGTTCATAGTCAGGGACAAGAGGCCAATAGCCCTCTTTTGCTATGGTTCCTTAGCAGCTGGTATTTAAGGTACATTGCCTGTGATTTCAGAGGTACCAATATCCATCAAGAGTAGACTAGTAGCTACTGATAGCAC